AAACGATTTGAGAGAAAGAGCACCATCCATCTAGGAAGAGACCTACACCCTATTAATCCTTTTGGCTGGGAATCATTCACTCAAGGACTGATGAAGTGGTTTTCTTCTGAGGTTACAGTTTAGGGTTGGTGGCTTATAGCTCACTATAAAGACAGCAAGCTTGGTCCAGTACACTTCAAAGATATGGTCCATGTCATAAGACACTTGCAGTTGAAACAGATGGACAAGAGCAAAAGGAAGGTTCTCTCCCCCGGCTCAATTTTTAATATAACAAATTTTCCTCTAATACATCCCTATTTAATGTGGTCTTCTACTTTACAATGTTTGTATAGAATAAACTGTCCTGTCAATTCTGGGTGAAGTTTTTGAACTTTCCCAGCCTGCTTGTTTCCAAGTTCTCTTTTGTTAGGACTTCCTCACTCCCATCCCAGCCATCCTTAATCAGGTGGGCAAGACATGGAGCACCACAGGCCTTGCATTTGTCCTGACCAGATATTTTCTTTAAAAACAGGCTGTTTGCAAACAAACTCTTTGGCCTGGATCCTCCCAGAGACCTGTGCACAGAGGGGACTCCCCACATGCAAATCAACTTCTCCTGGCATGGAAGGTGGGTTCAGTCACCTGTACTGCACCATCTCTCTTCCTCTATACCTTGCAAGGGCAGCCTCTGTACCCAGAATCTGTGTAGGGGGAGAAGTGGTGACTGGAGGGGTTGGGAGAAAACATAACCCTCCCCCTGACAAGCAGAAATGCTGTTTTATCTTTTCCATATGATCCCTTCTGGGGACCTCAGAAGCAGCAGTGGCCAGGGAGAGCTCCTGGTATCCAGGGACATAAGGGGTAAACCAGTAGAGGCCAGAACCAATGCAAAGGCACATGGACTCCATGTAGATGGCCTTGGTCCCCTGTAGGTGCCTCAAGATCTGTAAGGGAAAAAACTGCAGAGTTTCCCTGTCAACCTGGAAGGAGGGGAGTGATGCCCCATATTGTACAATGAGGATGTATTTATTTATTTGGGGATAGCAGGGGAAGATATTTTTAAGTGATCTTCAGAGATCATATGGCCCTTGATAGTGCTGCTTTTTACCCAAAATGTAATGCCCGCTCAGAGTTTAAACTAAGATCCTACTGCACCTGCCAACAAAGATTGCCTGACCACGTTCTGCAGAACCCAAATGCAACTAGAAAAAGGTCATTCGCTGGTTTTGGATTCATAGGTGCCAGGGCCGGAAGGGACCATTTTGATCATCTAGTATAGCACAGGCAATAGAACATCCCCAAAGTAAGCTCCTAGAGCAAATCTTTTAGAAAAACATCCAATCTTGATTTAAAAATTGTCAGTGATGAAGAATCCAAGATGACCCTTGATAAGTTGTTCCAATGGTTAATTACCTTACTGTTAAAAATGTACCCATTATTTCCAGTCTGAATTTGTCTAGTTCAACTTCCAGCCACAGAATCATGAAGGTCATCACTTTTTGTTATATCTTTCTCTCCTACATTGACAAGCCCATTATTGACTATTGTTCCCCATGTTGGTACATAGAATCTGATCAAGTCTTAAAGAAAAAGTTAAGATAAATAGATTGAGCTCTTCAAGTCTATCACTATAAGGCATGTTTTATAATTCTTCAATCATTCTCCTGGCTCTTCTCTGAAACCTCTCCAATTTATCAGTGTCCCTCTTGAACTGTGGGCACCAGAACTGTACACAGTGCCAAATACAGAGGGGTAAAATAACCTACCTACTCCTACTCGAGATTCCCCTGTTTATGCACCCTGGGGTCACAATAGCCCTTTTGGCCATAGTGTCACATGTTCAGCTGATTATCCACTATGACCCTCAAATCTTTTTCAGAGTCTGGCTTCCCAGGAGTCCCACATCCTGTAATATGACCTACATTCTTTGTTCCCAAATGTATCCATTTACTGATATCAAAACACCATTTGCTTCTGCCGGCTTCTCAAGAGATCCATATCCCTCTGAATCAATGACCTGTCCTCTACATTATTTACCTCTTCCCCAATTTTTGGGTCACCTGACAAACTTTATCAGTGATTATTTTTATGTTTTCTTCTGGACATTGATAAAAATGTTAAATAGTGTAGGGCTGATCCCTATTGGACCCCACTAGAAATGCACCTGCTTGATGAGGATTCCCTATTTATAATTACATTTTGAAAACTATCAACCAGTAATCCATTTACTGTGTGCCACGTTAATTTTATATTGTTCTAGTTTTTTAATCAAAATGTTGTGCGATAAAAGTCAAATGGCTTTCAGAAGTCTCAGTATATTAAAATCAACACTTGCCTTTATCAACCAAACTTGCAATCTCAGATTTCAAATTAGTTTGACAAGATGCATTTTCCATAAACCCATACTGATGGACATTAATTATATTACCCTTCTTTAATTCTTAATCAATCGATTCCCATATTAGCTGCTCCATTATCCTGCCCAAGATCAATGTCAGACTGACATGCCTATAATTACCAGGGTCTACCCTTTTTAAATACTGGCACAACATTAGCATTTTTCCAGTCTTCTGGAACTTCCCCAATGTCAAAGACTTATTGAAAATCAACATTAATGATCCAGCGAGCTCCTCAGTCAGCTCTTTTAAAACCCTTGGATGCAAGTTATATGGACCTGCTGATTTTAAAATGTCTAAATTTATTGGTTGCTGTTCAACATCTTCCTGAATGGAAATAGTGTTACCATCATCAGTCATATGACTGCATCATCTATTTTTTCCCCCAAATAGTAAACAAATATTAATATAACTCGCACAGATACAGACAGACATCATCTTCCTCTCCAAGTGCAAACAGATGGACATCATATCAAATGGACTGAAGGTAAAAAAATCCATTGCATTCGACATACTACACCGACTATGGTGAGAGACTGTGCCACACACTTTTTTTATAAAAATCTGTTAGTCTTTAAGGTGCCACTGGACTCCTTGTTGGTTTTGTAACTATTTATTGAACTCTTCTGCCTTTTCTTCATTATTATTGATAATTCTACCATTTCCATCTAGCAATGGCCAATACTACTATGTGGATTCTTTTTGTTCCTGATATACTTTAAAAACTCCTCCATATTGTCTTTTACTCTGCGGGCCATAGATTTCTCCTTGTGTCCTTTTGCATCCATTATCAATTTTCTATAATTCCTAGCTTGTTTTATATTCATTACGATCAACTTCCCCTTTCTTCCATTTTTTTAAATAGCTGCCTTCACTTCTCCTCTAAACAAGGCTGGTTTTCTAATATGGCCTTCTTCCTTTATTGGTGGTTTTTGAGCATCTAGTAAACTGCTCTTAATCAATTTCCAATTATCACTCACATTTTTCTGCTCATATTCTTCCTCCCAGCTGATTTACCTCACTATTGTTTATCCAGTTTTGTGAAATTGGCCCTTTTAAAGCATGAAGTTTTAGGGGAAAATGTAATGAATATATTACATTACTGAACAAATTCAAGGAATAACATTCAACAGCTATTCACTCCCATTTATTCTATGTACCGTGCCCAACGCTATAGTTTGTCTCTATAATCTCGGTTCTAAAAACACATGTTGAAGGTCATCACGGTGGAATGTTTCCCCACATTCTTCATTACTCTTCCTTTCAGTTATAACAGCAGATGCAAAGTGAGAAAAAAATTTACAAAAGAAATGTATTCTTACGTCTAACATTAAACTTCATGGGCTAATAGTTTACAAGTCAACTGGGGAACATAAAAAGTGCCCAAATGTTTGCAATCTCTGAGAAAACCAAAACACTCTATGGATACATAAACAAACAAAAAAAAAACACCACACACCATTTCAAAAGGTATTAACCAAGCAAGATCTCTAAACCTTACCTAAACTTAACTCTATAGAGAGCCTTACCAAGTACACATCACAGAGTTAGATCACAAAAGACATCTTCTGGGGATGTGTGTGTGTCTTTTCAACCCTTTCTAGAGTCTAATCTTGGAATGGAGCTTTACTTCTAGTACAGGTTTAGGTCGCTCATGTAGGTGGCATTGCTTCTAAGATGTAAAATATGTATCCGTTCCTTTGTGTCACACACAGTCAAAAATCACAAGGTAACAATTTCATTTTATAAAATGGTACACCTTCCCTCTATTTTCAGTTCTAACTAGGGCACAGCCTAACAGTGGTCATTGCAAGGAATATTTATCCTAGTCCTAGGCCAAATGTTATTTTGATGCCACCAGTGGGCCGTTCCCTAACTTTAACAGAAAATTAAAACAAACAAACCCTTTCTGCCTGAAAAGTATTTTCTTTAAACACATGATTTATACTTTAATTCCAACTGTGGAGAAGAAAAAAATTGGTCTCTCAGCAATTTAGCCATTTTTCCTGCACTGATGAAAATACATAAATAATTTCATACCTCATAGTAATCAATTATGTATCATTTGTTCATGAATTTTAAGCAATTAAGAAATAAGACGCTGACCAAAATTTAATGTTGTAATAAGAAATAGCAAAGATAACAGGACTATCTGCTGAAGAAGAGTTACATTTTTTAAAGTGGTTATTTCTAGACAAAAATTAGAATAGTCTTTTAATCTACTTAAAACTAGATTTAAAAATTTAGAAAATTTCAAGTTTAGATATATAAGCACCACTTTTGTGCCCCCTGGTGCTCCTGTTTTGCAGAGCAGAAGATCTTATAAAGTCATTTTTGTTTGCTGAACACACATAAACTTCTACATTTGTGTCGTCAACAGTGCTACTGTCCCATATTTAAAAAGGCACATATATACACTAGATTTTCTGGGTTTTTTTCTATTTTCACTTATCAAAGAACACTGATAATCTAGATAATTATTTTCTTTACAAAAGAGCATTTTGTCATATTCTATACATGCAACAGGATTATATTTATGATACCTTATAAATATGTCACATATCACATTTATTTTCGTGTCACTAGTGGTATATATTACTATACCCTCAGCTCTCAAAAACTCACCTCATCATCATCCATTATATGCTGCTTTGCAAATTCATACATTTCCGTCTGAAGTGTGGTTATGTTATAATATCGAACTGCTTCCTATCAGGATAACAAAATTTCCAGATTATTTTTTAGGCCAATAAGACATTGTGAACATATTTCTGAATTTCTACCAAGGCATCAGATATCACCTGTGACTATTCTAGCAAGCCCAGTTCCAAACTCAGCACTATTCTGGGTCAATTTCAAGATTGCCCCATATTTGCAAAAGGAAGATGGAAGTAACGAATGAACAAATACGCTAAGCAGAATATCTAATATTTTCAGTGAATCCTTCCAATTGTGTCATCCTTTTGAATCTTCTTGATGTCTTAAAAATTAGCCAGTTTGAGACTAAATGAACGAGATCCCAAAGTAAGCAGCTATAGGGTCAAACCATAGCTGGCCTTAGTGTACGTGTTCATGAAGAGGCACAAAGTGAGTGGTTAGTGTGCTTGATGGAGCCTAGGTCTCCTTCCACACCATTCTATGGAGTTGGCCAGCCATGGAGTGAGATGCATGCTGACAGTGCTCTGGAGCACTTTTTATAGTGGGTGTGCTGAAAGCCGGCTAATGAAGCTGCAAACCATGTGTGTTCAAAAGCAATGTGAAAAAGCACAATTCCCGCTCATACCACACGGGTGCAGCACAGCTCTGGGATTCTCAAGAATCACAAAATAATGCTAGATTTCAGAGTAGCAGCTGTGTTAGTCTGTATTCGCAAAAAGAACAGGAATACTTGTGGCACCTTAGAGACTAACAAATTTATTTGAGCATAAACTTTCGTGGGCTACTGCCCACTTCTTCAGATGCATAGAATGGAACATATAGTAAGGAGATATATATACACACACACACAGAGAACATGAAACGGTGGAAGTAGTCATATCAACTCTAGGAGGCTAATTAAGTAAGATAAGCTATAATTGAGAGGAGGAAAAAAAAACAAAACCCACTATCGTAGTGATAATCAAGATGGCCCATTTCAGACAGTTGACAAGAGGTGTGAGGATACTTAACATGGGGAAATAGATTCAATCTGTGTAATGACTCAGCCATTCCCAGTCTCTATTCAAGCCTAAATTAATGGTATCTAGTTTGCATAGAGTTTCAGTTCAGCAGTTTCTCGTTGGAGTCTGTTTTTGAAGCTTTTCTGTTGCAAAATTGCCACCTTTAAGTCTCTGAGTGACCAGAGAGGTTGAAGTGTTCTCCTACTGGTTTTTGAGAGGTTATGCTCAAATAAATTTGTTAGTCTCTAAAGTGCCACAAGTACTCCTGTTTTTTGTTTTGTTTTTTTAAATAATGCTAGCTTTGTTCTGACAGCACCAGTAAACTTTTCACGGTGAAACCTGGGGGTGCGGCAGCATCTGCCGCACCCCTAGTTCCTGTGCCTATGCATGTTGAGATATAGTGCATTGCCCTCTACCCAGAGTGGTGGCTGAACATCACAATTTATCTTATAGTAAACAGTTGCTATGTTTGGTGGTATTACCACCATCTGCAATGTTTGTCCCATATAACTTTCGTGGAGGGTAACAGGAGAAAAGACTCCTCCTCTTTCACAAGAGTGTCCCAAGCATAGCGTACGGTCAAAATGCAGCCCCTGGCCAACTTAACCCTGTGTAACTGCTAGGGGAATGCAAAGCAGGTCAACCGTGGGATTTTCTGCTGGGCAACTCAAACAACAAGCAATTTCCAATCATTTTTGGAGGATCAAAGTATAAGCACAATGTAGTTGTATGCATTTAAAATAGTACATAAACATACAGGTGATGCAGGCTTTGAGCTCCTGGAAAGTAGTCAATGAATCCTACAGTGTCAAAGTATGGGTGTCTGTGCCTCTTTCTCTGCATTCCACATCCCAAATGTATTTGCAGGTGGCTAATTTCTTAGAAATTTTACATTTATGGCCATTACATAAGTCACTCCCTATGGATCTCGCAGCCATGCTGAAGACCACTGTTGAAGTTCACTTCTACTTTGAAAGGGGACTACATAAAAATGGCACCGTCTCACACACCAGATCTGTTCCCTGTGTGAGCTCAGACTCATATCTGCTGGCTGTTGAGACAAAGATTTTACTGCATTTTGCTCCTGTTAGCCCTGCAAAGCCAGCACAGTTCAGGGCTTGTCTTAACTACAAAGTTAAGTCAAAGAATAACTCGCGTGTTGCTCCAATTCAAGTCTCATCCACACACAAAACCCTTAAACTCGAGTAGCCCTGCTTTTAACTTGAGTTTGTTGACCTGAGAGGGGATATAGGCTCAAAGTTCAAGTGAACACAACTTGACAGCTGCTAACATGATCACTCTACAGTGTGGATTCAGGCTAGTGTCATTTGAATGCTGCTTGTCCTCCAATGCCTTCCCACAATTCTCCCCTAAGTGCCCAGAAAGGACAGACAAATTCTCTACAATTCACAGAGCGGTTCAGGTTATTGCAGTATTAAGAATCATAGGACATGCACCTACATGTCTAAGTGCCACACATGAATGAGTGTGGCCCCAGTGTGGATACAGCATCTTGAGTGTTATTTCACAGTGGCTGCTCTCACTCCAGCTAGGCTAACTCAAATTAACTGTGCAATGAAGATAGACCCTAAGTGAGTGTGAGCCAGATTCTATTCTGGATCATGCATCATCAACAGAAATGTTAACTACATTTCAGTCAGTTATACATGTGCAAACCCACTGAAGATGATGGGGTTGTGCATGTGTCACTAATGACATATTTTGCCTGCAGAACCATAGTACTGGCAAGAAGGCACGAGAAAGAACCAAGCTTCATTTCTGGTTCCCAGGCTGAGTTTGCAGAGCAAGCAGTTTACAAGTTTTTTTTACTTGTAAACTAGGAACATTGGATCTGGAAGTCAAGCTGACGTTAACAGCACAGAGCCCCATTATGCCATTTTTAATGAGTCACTTTTCAAAGTATAGCTGCACTTTATCTTGGTTCCTTGCTAAACTGGTTTATAACATGGCTTGGCCGGCCTGTTTGGAAGAAAGCCATGTTAAAAGGTTTTTCAGAAGGCATTCTAAGTTAGGTGGCTAGGTGTAATACAGCTTAGGTATATCCCAGCCACCCTGGCTATAAAACTGCTTTCTCAAAAACCTTTTTAATGTGGTTATTCCTGTCCACAGCAACCAAATGTGTTCTGAAATAATTTGTGGAAAATAGCGTAAATATGGTTATCAAACATAGCTACATTCCAGTGCTTACAGAACTTAGAAAAAAAAACAGGCAGCCTTCATGACCTGGGAGTGATCTGTTGACAAACAGTAAGTGACCAACAAGAGTCCCAATGCTACTGTGGTGCCACTTAGATCTAGAGACTTCCAGACTTCAGTGACTGGTTAGATAGCCCTTGCAGGCAGATAAAATAAACAAGTGTAGATAAGGTGGTAAACAGGCATGTTTGATATCTCAGTGAATTAATGTGTGCATCAGCATGCTCCAGCAGAGAGGGAAGAATTGTAAAATCCCTTCTCTACACATGTACGACAACACACTATACAGATATTTTCCACAACTCTCTGATTCTAGTAAGTGAATTGTGTTTGACAAAAAAACCTTTAAACAATCCTTCTCTGCCATAACTTCCACTCTGTTGGATTCAGGGGTAATATTAGGGGACATCTTGCAAGCAATTTACCCACTCAACTTACTGGTCTAGGCTGGAAATCTTCCTCTGTGAGTCCCCATTTGTCTTTATGGTATTGATAGTAGACCATGTTCTGTTTCATCACTTCATCTTTCTGGTCGAAGAGCATGTAGCTAGCAACACAAGGGGCTGCATTCTTCATGTCATTCACTGAATTAACAAAACAAACATAAGCCTGCAGAGAAGGTAAATGAGCAAACAGCCCACATTTCCCTTTATTATCCAAACTCAGGAAATTCAGGTGACAACAGGCACAGTATTCCTCCTAAATTCTTCCCTCTTAACTGTATAAAATAAATAACCCCCCCAACAAGGACATACTTAAAAAACAAAAACAGATCCCCATCCTGGCCTACTCTGAAAAGCTTGGACAGAACATTACCTAGCTACAATTTTGCTCAAGTAACAGGATGAATGATGTGTACTACTCAGAGGTTATTTCATAAGGTGACAATATGCCAGACATGCTCCAAAGAGTCCACTTCTTAACTGTGGAGATTGTTTGAAAGATCTGCAATTCTCTCACCATAAAAATGCAAGAGATAATCTTATAAAAAACAAAAAACATAACCTAAAACTCTTCCTTGCATTCCAACAACCAGGGCAGTATTGGCCCAGTATCTTCCCCCATTCTGTGACATTTTTTTATGGTAAAACAGTGTTAAGAGAGTGAGGGAAAAGCAAACAGGAGGTAGATAATCAAATAGCACACACAAGAGGCAAAAAAGACCCCAACTCAAGCCTGAATTTTACCCTCTGATAGGAGCCAGCAAGAGCTAGGCATGCATCCAAAGTTAGAATTTGGCTCTTAAAATGCAGGTCTACACCTAAAAAGAGACTAAAATTCTCAGTGATCTTCTTATCAAATGTGTTCCTTCTAACGGCCAGCCCTTCAACCTCAATGTGGTCTTGGAAAGTCAAGCCAGACTCTTTCCTTTTGTCATGGGGTATGTACCCCCATACAGATAAGGAATGGATTAATATGGACCTGAGAAGCCAATTATACTACCTGGTTGCACCTGAAGATGGGCCTGGCTTAATTAAAGATGAAGCTCAGCTGGGGAAAGAGCTAGTCACAGTGACTATAAAGAGAGGAAGCACATCTTTTAAGGAGACAGTCATCCTTTTCTTGGTATTAGAGAATGGAGAGATCAGCAAGGTCACAGATGAAGGCCAAGGGAAGAGTTGACCCAGCACCTTCTCTCCTGAGTAGCAAAGTCTAGCAAGAGGCCAGGAAAAATACAGAGCAGACATTGGGGTGGCACAAGCTCTGGTGAAGAAACCTGATAATAAGGCAGGATCTGAACTTTCAGAGAGAGCCCTGCAAGGTGTCCCACTGAGGAGCAAAGAGGGATGGAATGTCACACCTGAAGAGGGCAGAAGTTGGTTTAACTTGGTACTCTTAGCTTCGGGATTTTGTTGGGGGATTCTGGGGTGGGAGAGAGTCTTGGCCCTGAGAGAAGGGTAAATGTGGAGAAGCCTGCTGACAAGCTATGGCAGGAAGAAGTCCAATGAGGGAGCAGCAAGGAATCTGATAGAGCAGACCTTGGTTGCTGGTTACAGGGTCCCTGGAATGAAACTCAGTGTAGTGGGAAGGCCTAGGTTCCTCTACCAGCTTCTGGGGAGGGCAATGAGAGGCCCCTGACCACCCCAAGAGAAAGGTGGTGAGGACTACAGGGGCCCATTGGGGGCAAAGCCCTTTTGTAAGGATGCTAGACTTTTTCCATTGGACTTTGTTTGTTGCTCTGGAAATGGTGGAACTAAAGCATAACCTGGCCGGAGGGCTGTCACAAGAAGAGGTAGACTACTACAAGGCCAGAGTGGCTGTCAGCAATAAGTGCTAGAGGTGGTGTCTGCTGTGCCATGTCCAGCCATGAATGGGTGCACAGTAAGTCAACCCTTCTACACCTTTTCACATATCCACAGCAATAAAAGTTCAACTGGTCAAATTAGGCTTTTGTTACACCTGCCTTCAGAGAGCTGCAAAGCTGTAATTGATTGGAAATTAGTAAACAATTATTTTCTAAACAAGGAACAGAACCTAGCTCTGTCTCTCAGCTGTATTGTCTCTGCAGAAGTTTAAAAAGTTTAGGGAAAAAAGCAGGGAAAATTCTTCTAATCACTGCAGTCAGCAGATGTGATTCTGAATACATGCAAGAAGCAGATCTGCTGAGAAAGCGGGGGCAATGTTTACAAAGTCACTTTTAAGAGTACAACTGCACTTTAATAATTGAGGAGTGTTCACAGAGCCAGACAAAGACACATGAAAAAATATCATAGAAAGTCTGCAAGGAAGCTTCCATACAAAATTGTAGCCATATCAGCAGTTCCCATACCAAGTATACCCTATGCATACCTCGTTTGCCCAAACCCCTTTATAAGAATTATCATTCCTGAGAGAGTTTGCAATAATAGGTTCCCTCTTTATGCATGTCCCCAGTTCTAGTCAGATGAATAAGGTCCTACTATGAAAAGAAACAAATGTATGAAACAGTTTGCAGTCCTTTGTGATGGAAAAAATACTACTTGTAAAATTAATTTTCAATGGTTTGCATTATATTTGATGCACTGCCTCTAGGTCACAATTTCTCTTCTTCCTAGCTGAAATAGTTGGATCTCCTTGTGTAACAAAAAAGTCCCCAGTGGAGACAAGTGCTAAGAAGGACCAGTAGATTGTACCAACAGGAGATAAAGGAACGCAGCAGAATGTGACAAATAAAATCATGCTTATTCTGTAATTGTCTAAGATGCAAGTCTTCATTTCTCTAATAGAAACCTGATTAGAGACCATTAACAGCCAAGCACCTCCTACAACTTCTGTCACTTCAGTGGCAGTTGAGGGGGGCTCAGCACTTGGCAGGATCGGGCCATAAAATACTTTTGTCCCATATCACTTTCATATGGGGGCTATTCACCTCTCCTCACATATGTTTGTCTCCCACAGATACCAACAGCACTTACACATGCCCAGGGAGAAAGGAGACTAGACAGCTCAGACTTTTAGGTCCAAAACAGATTAATTGCAATTTCAAGATGCTATAAATAAAATATTCTAAACCATTGTCACTAGAAGTGAAGGGCACTGAAGGAGGCTTGCCAGCACCATCCCAAGCTTATTTAAAAAACACAACACACTACTTACATTTATAATAGGCAAACTGTAAGTAATGGTACATGGTTGCCACAAACTTCTCCACAACAAAGCCTCCTATGACTGGTGTCAGGTTGATTTCACACTGCAGTTTGCATTCAAGGACTTCAATGTAGTGATCTAAAGGAAAAAAGAGATAGAACTGGATAGAACACAGTTAGCTGTTTCAGAAGTACTCCTGCAGCCAGCCCCGCTATACACTATGGCTCCATACTGCTCCCCTGGGTCGTAGGCACCAAGGTCCTGCCTGATGTTCAGAGATCCTTAGCCCTCACAATTCCAGCTGAAGTCAATGAGAAGTGTTAATGCTCAGCACTTCTGGAAATCAGGCCCCAGTGACTTCAGACCAAAAGTTTCAGTCACAGTAAACAGCTATGTTATGTTTTACAGACACCTAAAGGTAGCCTGTGTTGACACATTTTATATACAGTGATATTTCTATCTATTAAATGATTGAAATGGAGTACTGCTGTATTTCCACCTTAATAGAGATTTTTTTTTAAAGTAGTTGATACCTTTGCAGTCTTACTTAATTGTTTTGTCACAAAATAAAAGCGGATACTGCTGGATATTGTCATGCCAAGGAGAAAGGTAAAAGGTATTCCAAAACAATCTTACACATTGTAGCTTTTTGCCTCTCTCCGGTATTTGGTCTCAAAGAAATAAATGCAAATATAACTTATTCACAGAATGTCTTTCATCCTATAAGATCCTAAATTCAAGTTCACAAACTCATTTACAAACCACCCAACAGCTCAAAACAGGCTAGAACCAGAAGTAATAAATAATTTTGAGATATACTTCTTACGGGCCTTTTAAATGATCTCAAAGTCCTGAACAGTAATAACTCTTTAAAACTCAACACACAGGTAAAGTAGATATTGGCGCTTCAGTTCCTTTGTCAACAAAATGGAACTGACAGGTAATGCACTGAGTCATCAATAGAGACAGTAAAAGATCAAGAACTCAGCCCCTCCATTCCTTTTCTCTATCTACGAAGCCCCCTTTCCTCCCAGAAGTGAAGACTACTGTATCCATTGAAAATGCAGGGTGAACATGGGAAGGCAGAACGTAATTACCCACATCGGAAATTGATTAGGACATCAGGGCTTATCACTCCTACTTTCACAAGAGATATGGAATCTCTGACCGCAGCAATTAGCAATTTGGTGTTATGTCTTATCTAAATGACATGAGGCAAACAGCGAAAGTATTTCTGGGACTGATATCTGTATACAAGTATTATCAATAATTCAGGACCCTCAAATATAAAAGTGTTACTAATAAAATTAGGAACCCATTTCACCATACTTGCAGTCAATTATAATTCAATTTAAAAAAAGTTATCTTCACTGGTGGTGCTGAGACATTTCAGGATACAAGGTCAAGCTAGCCGTCCTTCAGGCAATTTAGAAATTCTGCTGCATTTCTAGTGCTGTGTTACCAGACACCTACCTTTGAAAAGAAGTGTCTCTGCAACCCCTTTACTGAGGTTGACATAGCTCTGGGGATGATACTTATTGTCATTGTTACTGAGGAGCAAGGAAAACTTACATATGCCATTTTGATAACACAAAAACTGTGGCTTTTCTAATTATATCCTTTGCGATGCAGCATTTAAATTTTTTAAAAGTTATGTAAGGAAAAATATTCCTCCTCAAACAACAGTGCATATCTCTACTGCAGAGCATGCAACAGAGATTCACAATACAGACTGGAGAAGAGAAATTTGCCAGGTCAAATGTTGAGGCTGTGATGCTGTCTAGCAGGTTGCCAGCTCAAATCAGAGCCAAAGGCCAATTCACTTGTTAGCTGAGTTGAAAGGGAATGTTAATGGCATTGTCTTCACTTATCTATAAACCGGTTGACGCATTACATTATGTATGCCCCTGTAATTAAATAACCCCGGATTAAAGTGTGTGTGTATTCAGGTGTTAGAACTTTATGAATGCTAATGAATGATAGACACTTGTATTGTTTCACGTATCTATCCCTATTATAATGTAATGGCAGGCAACGGCATTGTTATATCACGGTATGGCTTTGTCTTAAAACAAAGGCTTAAAACTTTTGTCAATCAGAGTGGGGAAAAATACACCCCCTGACCAACATAAATTTCACTGACAAAAGTGCTGGTGTGGACAGCACTAATGTTAGCAAGAGAGGCTCTCCTGCCAACATAGTTAATGCCACTCATTGGGGGTGGTTTAATTAAAGAGCAGCTACATGGGAGACCTTACAGTGGCATAGCTTTAGCGGTACAGCTGTGCTGCTGTCAGGTCTGTAGTATAGACATAGCCTAACTAAATTACTTGTGAATGCCAGGAAATAGAATGCTGACTTGAACACAATGACCCTTGCTTTGAATAATGGAAATTCACAGGCTCAATCTGCAATTGCTACTCATCAAAACCCACTTGGGTGAAGAACTGTTCAGATGGTCTTCTCTGAGGAGGATCTATAAATACTGGTTTGAGGGAATGATACTGTATCTCTGGACTGATGGATTCTGACACGGTGGAATACTGAATGACTGGACAGAGACACCCAAAGTTATTTTGGGTGAGCCTGAGAGACGTATAGAAAATTAGCAGATTACTACATCTCTGCTATCGCTTTGAATTTACAAACTTGGATTCACCTATTAATGTATTTTATCGGCTTTAACCTCTCAATAACTCTAATTTCTTTTCCATAGCTAATAAATCTTTAGTTAGTTTACTAGAGAAATTGGCTGTCGGTGTTGTCTTTGGTGTGAGATCCAGAGTATCCATTGACCTGAGGTAAGTAACCAACCCCTTGGGGTTGGAAATAACCTAAAGTGAGGTGATTTTATTTCAACACAAAGTCTAGTGGAAAGGGGTCTCTCTGTGGCTCCATGGTAAAACTAATATAGTGATCCATAAGTGCACATTTGTTACTGGCTTGGTAAAATCTAATTATAGAATATACACCTCTACCTCGATATAACGCTACCCAGAACTTGCTTTGATCCACCGGAGTGCGCAGCT